CTGTTGAAGCCAGAGTGACGAACGGCAGACGTGTTAGTATGTGTGTCACTGAGGTACTCCGGTTCGAGGCCCCGTGTTGCTGCTACTGCTGCTGCTGCTGCTGCTGCTGCTGGTGGTGGTGGAGATAATCACTCTGCGCAACTCCCTAAAGTCGACAAATTAAGTTTAGTTGCTGCTATTGATAACAGTCTTACCACTGCCATTACCCTCGCCACCATTGTCAATACCTTTGGCACCACAGTCACTAATATCAGCACCATTACCAGCACTGGTAGTGATAATGGTAGTCTCCCATACTACCATTATCGTCGACGGCATTATTACCGCAATGGTAATATAACACCTAGAAACACTACATAAATACTAAAAGACAAATATATCCCAATGAGCTTTGCCCAACACACGTGGAGATGGTGTAGGAGAAATACGAACTTGGAGGTGAAGACACAGTGAGGACATGATCGCGACACACAAGATATTTACAGATAATGACCAGGTCGGCACAGACGAAATTACTTACAAAACGGTTACCATTTCAAATCAAATACTCAAATGAGTCAGAGATATCGGAAAGATTTCATCTGATTCGTTGTGTGAGACTGACGAGACAAGCTCCACACATGGATTTAAAAGTAAATAAAACAAAACAAATGGGTTTGATGATGTTTAATATGACCCAGTTTAAGGCCCGGGAGCTGCATCTCAACCCCTGCTAACACACAGTGAAGTATAAGAATGTTCAGAGAGGTACCCTCACCCCGCTCCTGTGCCAGATAAGTCCACTACGGGTTCACCATAGCCCGTGCTATTTGCACCCCTCCTGTGCCAGGTAAGTTACGGGCTCACCATAGCCCGTGCTACTTGCACCGCTCCTGTGCCGGGTTAGTTACGGGTTCACCATAGCCCGTGCTATTTGCACCCCTCCTGTGCCAGGTAAGTTACGGGCTCACCATAACCCGTGCTACTTGCACCCCTCCTGTGCCAGGTAAGTTACGGGCTCACCATAGCCCGTGCTACTTGGAACTTGTTCCGAGTAGCTGAATCTATAACAACAACAACGTCCTCCCACCAGACTGAAGTAGGTCGGTAGTTGGACTGAAGAGCAGCCTGTCCTCCTAAGATTTCCCAACGTCGAAAAACTGCCGTACTATAGTGCCCTCTTCCTAACCTACCAGAGGACGCAAAACAGAAATGGGATGTGGGCCTGCGGGCCGCTCCAAGCAACAGCCTGGTGGACCAAACTCTCACAAGTCGAGCCTGGCCTCGGGCCGGGCATGGGGAGTAGAACTCCCAGAACCCCATCAACCAGGTATCAACCAGGGATAGTATGACAATTTCGCGAGCCGCGACCATTTTCTAGTACGACAATTTTTTGACCTTTGGTAGAATTAGTTTAGTTCATTTATTATGCACCCCATACCCATCTTGTGGGCTGTAGTGGAAAGGGTTACAGAGGCACATAATGGGCTCGGGGACTGAACCCCACAATTCATTTAGCTAAGCAAGTTTACAGTCTTGATGAGCTAGTTACAAAATTCAGTATAAGTCGTCACATCAACCATACGTCAAAATGCGACGTTCTATTAGGAAGACGGGTTGTAAAGAGTGGACCTTGAGAAGTCTGCAGCTTCCTGACCTCGATAACGGGAATTATTAAACAGCACACAGACCCACCTTTTAATACCCTGTAATACCGACTGAGACGAAGGAATTATATTTAAAGAGAAATAATTTGTTATCATATACTAATCGTTTTAATGTTGCGATTCTACCGACAAACATTCCTGGACGACCTTCAAAATAATTTTTATTACGTTAATGAGGTTAATTGTGCATTAAAAATATGAAATTCTACAAGCTTTAACGGTGTTAGGACCTGACAGAATAGCAACATATGAACTATTTGTTGAAATGAAGACAAACTGAATTCTAATGATGCAAACACACACACTGTGTGTGTGTGTGTGTGTGTGTGTGTGTGTGTGTGTGTGTGTGTGTGTGTGTGTGTGTGTGTGTGTGTGTGTGTGTGTGTGTGTGTGTGTCAAGTCCATCCTCCTGAAATAAAAGTACCTAGAGTAACTATATGGTCGAAAGAATCAGTATATCGTGATTGACCACCAGAAAGCTGACTTTTGTCCTATTGAATTTGGACAGACCGGAAATTTCTTATCAGCAACACAAATAAAGGACCTAACCTATCCTTTCCTAGCAATCCTAGGCCAAATATAATACATGTATGTGCTCTCTTAGGCCTAGGAATATTTGAGCTTGGAGTTTAGCTACGTTTCTCCCGACTCTTATCAAATTAATAGTACAAAAAATGAGTTACTGGTGGTCCATCACTACATATATTGGTCCTTTCAACCAAATAGTTACTCTAAGTACTGTCATTCCTGGAGAATGGGTAATCTCCAATTCCAGATAAAATACTGACCACTTGGGCTGCACGGTAGAGCGACGGTCTCGCTTGCTGCAGATCGACGTTCAATCCCCGACCGTCCAAGTGGTTGGATGTTGGGCACTATTCCTTATCTCGCCCCCACCCCCGTCCCATCCCAGATCCTTATCCTGATCCCTTCCAAATGCTATATAGTCTCGCAATAGCTTGGCGCTTTCTTCAGTTACACAGCACCGCTCCTGTGCCAAGTCAGTCCACTACGGGCTCACCATAGCCCGTGCTACTTGGAACTTGTTCCGAGTAACTGTATATATAACAACAACAACTTGGCGCTTTCTCCTAATACTTCTCTTCCCTCTGGGTAAGTGAAGTATTTCCAAGTGTGTACTCACCCAGTACTCACAGTACACACAGTACTTACAGCGCGAATATGTTTGCACTTCCACGTGTTGCTACATGATATAACAGACCATAATATTGATTATTATTTAAATCAACAAAATTCTGCTCGACTAATTGAGTCATCTGAGGGAAATGAACTTGGAAGTAGAGCAGCACTCTAAATCACTCAGACTTACACAAGTCAGGATCATAACTCTTACACTGATTGGCCTCTTAGGGCAATATCCTCGGATAAACATCTCCAAGTTTTCCTAAACCTCTTAATCCCCCCCCCCCCCAGCACTTATTTTAATGCATGTCTAGCCATGACCAGACATTGCACCCAACTGAGCTGACTGGGGGGACAATGAAACGCCTTGCCAAAAATAATAATAATCTTTATACATAAACAGCATGAAATTACTGTATACAAATTATACAAACCTCTCTGAAGCTCTTGTCCCATAACCATTCACTTTGTCACCATAAACCTTTGTTGCAACTCGCTACTTCAAATACTTGGATATGTCTAATGACAGGTTATACAATGTCCACTCTATATAGTAATGGTGTAGGCTAGACTCACACAGACTAGTGATGGTTTAGGCCAGAACAAATTGCGGAAAATACATTGAATTTGAAAATAATAGTCTACCTAAATATGTCGTTTTCTTCTTTAGTTATTTTCAGAAAACTTTTATGTATGCAGTACTAAAGTAAACATGGAACTTCGGTACACACATAACTATACTCTGCCTGAGACAACGTTACCCAATCTTAGCGTAAGGGGTAGAAAATTACAAGCCAGTTATGGTATGGGATGATTCGGAGGAGTATTAAGCCCACCACAGTAACTAATTGATAGACCAGCGAGTATACTTTATTCCTGAACATCGTCCAAGACCCTCCTTTAGATGCAACCCAACATCAGTTGCCTAACTCCCAGGTACCTATTTACTACTAGGTGAAGAGGTTCATTAGGTGAAGGAAAATATCCCCACCCACTCACTACGGGCTCTCCATAGCCCGTGCTGCTTGGAACTTTTTGTTCCAGGTAGCGAATCTTAAACAATAACAACAAACCCACCCATTTCTGTCCCGCCAGGTAATTGAACCCAGGATTCCCGATTGCGAGTCGAGAACTAAGCCAGATTTCTTCTTCTTTCTTCAGAAAGTTATACATCTCAAAAATTGTGAAGGAGGCCTTTCATAAGCCGCCAGTTTCAAGTCCTCTTCGATGCCACTAGAGAGATAGATGGTGGCCCTCAGGTAAATTCAAGAGTTGAAAAAATGTGACTTCTACACACTATTAGCACACAGGCGATTAATTGTATGTATTAAAAGTATGATAAATTCACAGCTCTTTATTACCTTAAACGTGATATGAGGTTTGGAAACACAATTTTTTTCGCGATAATTTATTTATACAAGACAAAATTATTAGTATGGCATCCTGCTTCTAAGCAGTAATTGAAGAAATACACGTAAGAGACCAATATTTCAGTGTTATAATGAGAACATTCAGTATATAATTCACGTGACGATTCCTAAGTTATCTTCGCTTTCCCAAAGTCAGATAAGCACATGAATATGGCAGCTAACCACAGACTTCATAAAACAGTAAAGCAGGACAATAAATAAAGCATGGGAATTGATATTAGGCAAACAATTAGGGATAAATAAGTTTGAGGTACATATTCATATATATACTGACTGATAAAGACCGAAAATAACTGTCTCATACCACCAATTTATGTTCGTATACAGAATATATTTAAATACAGAAATATGGCAAAATAGTATATAATATAAAGGATGAAATAATAATTTGCACAGCAAGTTCACTGTTTCTGGAAACATCTAAAGCTTATTACTTAAAAAGAAAAATATTTGGGTCTCCATTCATGTGATTTCATTGGCAACAATCTACTTAGAAACGACTGTATCCCTGCTGAATATAAGGAAGTTGGGGGGTACAAAACATTGACTGTCAACTGATAGTGTAAGTGGACTCCCTCACAGCGGTCGTAAAGGAGCCCCAGCAAGGGCAGCAACAGTGAGAGATATAAACGAAGTTTAATCAAGTGGAAGTCGCTTTATTCTATACTCAATTTCCTTTCTTTAGGAGACATTTTCACTCTCCAAAACTTGTTCCACCCATACCCGAATTACATATTTAAGATATATATATATATATATTGAAGTAAATGAGAAATGCGAGAAATTTATTGTATTTCATTTTTTTTTTAAGTTTCTGGACATCCCCTTCCCTAGTACATACATCTCCACACAAAATATTAAACAAAATAGAATCATAAGAATCTCTGACTGAGAGGGAGATTAGGAGCAGGAGGAAGATGATTATCACAGGGTGACGTCACGTTGTCCCAAAAGCCCAGTACTGTGTGTAGATCCATCAAGCATTTAAGTGTCCAATGTTACGAAACCTGTACATCTTTTCTCAGAGACGCACAGGTTTCGTTAATGGACGCCAGAAGTGCTTGATCAATCTTGACTCTGGTGGAGTCGCGCAAACACCCTCCATTTGGCCAGTTGATGAAGTAGCCTCACACCAAATATCATAATTAACCCAAAATACTTAAAATGCATTAGTAAGCAACTTATTTCTATGTCATTAAACGTCGGTGCGTAATGAAGATACTGTGAAGCAATACAATTCGGTGTGTTTACATTTATAAAGAGTCCCTTGAGTATATAACAAACCGCTTGCATGGACCCTAGCCGGAGTGTATGCAATTCGCTTACATGGAGCCAAGTCATATTTATTCGCTGCATAAACATGATATATATCTTATTATTTGTTTGAAAAACTTTAATATGATCATTGCATAGCTCGCTAAATCATCTGGCCAAATGGTTAATCATAAGTCATATGAACAGCACAATATAGCTGTAATTAATATCTCGAATTGTACACAGTTTTTTTATATTTTTAGGCTTTTTATTGAAATCCACACAACACACTGCTCACAGTTAACTACTATAAACTAATGATGTGAAACTTCATATTAATCTTTAAAAATAACTTTGGCTACAAAGTGGTTTATTGTGATTGATTGATTGATTGACTACACTTGATTGTGGCTCCCCTATATTTACCCACATTTCACATCATGACATACAAACACTTTATTACCAAACAGAAGGGGGGAGAGATTACAGGTTAGTTATAGCAAAATATTTGCAATGCATTTGGAATATACTATATGATGGATGCTTAGAAATTATAAATAATTTATAAATATTCTGTTCTTATTTAATGAGTCGAGCAAACATGACATTGGCAATCTTCAGACCTGTCTTCCTCAACTTGAGTCTACTTCTTAGCATTCTCGCTGCCAGGAGGATTGAGTCGCATCTGACGGGAGGAGAGAGGTGGTCAGCAGACCTGGCTAGTATATCAGCAGGCCAGGCTAGTAGATCAGCAGGCCTGACTAGTAGGTATCATGGGTGTTTAACTAAGCATGCACCAAATGTGCGATGGTTTGGCATCAAGCTATATCCTCGTTACTTGGGTTACTCTGCGTGTTTCTAGGGTGATTAAACAATTGGTTATGTAGGTATCAGATGTATAACCTGTTATTTCTCTCTGTTATTGTTTTGTTCTGATATAATACCCGGGACTTTAAACCACATGTACAGTGTTGTTTACATATATATAACAGTTTCTAACACCATTTAATTATGACTTTGCAATGCAGATAACTGGGCTAACTTTTTGCATTTAAGAACACTATGTTGGACAGTATTATTGATAGCCACAACATGCAAGAAATAAGTTGTATAGTTTGGTTCGCAAACGTCTTAGATTCACTGTGTTACATCAGTGTATCTAAGATTGTTATAAGGAAGAAGGACGGTGTCAAAAATTTATCTCATCATTTTAGTTTTTACAATTCAAAATGCTACTTTTATTATTGATATCTGAGCCTCAATCATGAAATCTGAACAAAATTGTATTTCTTTTTATACTTGCAAATTTAGGCGTTAAGATATATATGCTTTTAGCGATGATACGAATCGACGACGCGTCCTTATCCTCGTGTCTGCGTTTCGGTAGACACTAATATTTCTGTACGTGATTTTTTTTTTCCATATGTAACTTGTATTCCCCTGCTCGTTAACTTGTGTTCTCCGAACGTGGTTCGTGTTTACCGAATGTGGCTTGTATTTCCTGTACGTGGCATGTGTTTTTGCGTGCATGGATACCGTTTTTCCTTGTACACTAAGAGAGAGAGTGAGTTAACCTTTTGTCCGGTGGCAGGATAGGTTGGTGTGAGAGGGGGCGGCCCGGGAGTTAGTGTGTCTTTTAAACACTGTTGTTGTTGTTAGCCTGTTGCGTAGCTTCAGCCAGGGCCAGCTCCTGTTCCTCAGTCTCCTCTTCACTCACCTTTCGCATCTGTAATATTAGTTGACTGGAGGTCAAGAAGAGGTGTGTGGGGGCACCTTCCTTTTAAACGTCACAAAGAGTATATTGGTCATGTATGGAGACACACACATTAAAGGTTTGGTCACTTGGTCACGTTCAGTGAATAGCAGCCACTGTTTATAACCTGAAAGTCACTTGGAATATTTGAACGTAATGCTAGAAATATTTCATAGTCATATGAATTATATTGATTGAGAGATTTTAGGGATAGGGACTACGGAAAATACTAAGAAATATTATATTTAATTAATATTTTAAGAGTGCTGTTCATGCTAAGAGAAAAGTTTTAGGGATAACTACGTAATATATTAAGAAATGCTTTAAGGTTAATGAATATTTAAAGGGTGCTTTTCATGCTAGTTTTATAAAAGTTTTAGAAATAATTATTTTTTAACTTTTTATGGTAAGTATAATGAATGAGAAAATTATGGGGTATTGAATAAGTAGAGCAGCAAGTTGTGAATAAGTCAAGGTGAGTCTACGTTGATGAGCAGGTAAGGAGGCATGCTAAGGTCAAAATATATTAGGATATTTTAAAGTAGGTCAGCAGGTAATGAAGTATATAAAGTTAGGTCAGCAGATAATAGAGTATATCCAGTTACGTCAGCAGGTAATGGAGTATATCCAGTTAGGTCAGTGGGTAATGGAGTTTATCTACATAGGTCAGCAGGTTATAGAGTATACTTGGGTCAGCAGGTAACTGAATATATCATGTTGGGTCAGTAGGTAATAACATATCTCAGTTTGGATCAGCAGGTAACGTAGTATATCAGGATGGATCAGCAGGTAAGGGAGTATATCAAGTTGGGTCTACAGGTAAGTAATACATCAAGTTAGATGAGCAGGTGATGAAGTATATCAAGTAGGCTCAGCAGGTCTGTAACCTAAGTCGATACAGTACGACTAGGTAGCCCATGGCCCTTCGTCTGTAACCCACATCGGTAGTCTGCATCTCTATAACCCACGTTGCTAGCTTACGTTCATTTATTACGTCGCTACCGTACGTCTACGTAACCAACGTCGCTACAGTACGTCTATGTAACCAACGTCGCTACAGTACGTCTATGTAACCAACGTCGCTACAGTACATCTATGTAACCGACGTCGCTACAGTACGTCCATGTCACCCACGTTGCTACAAGTATGTAACCCACTTTGAGGGTAAACTTGACATGCATTTATTCACTTATTCCAATACTTAAATCTAGGTTTCCAGGTTAGTTGGCTCATTTATGATTAGTTATAATGCCACATTATACGGTATTAATGTACTCTAATGCATTAGTCATCGCTATATATATATATATACAAAGGGGTGTATATATGTACAGTATAACCTTTTGATCACGTTTCATTGAAGTCTGTGAAATCGCTTATTAGAGGAGCATTCAGTTTGATTTGTTATCCCTTAAGGTGGCATTATAGGTCTGAAGAGGATAGAATATGGTGTAGCTGCCACCACGAGGCGCGTGATGTTATATAGGATTATAGGGAGATCTCGACGGAAAGTTAATATTGAGGCAGAAGATATTTTCCAGTGTTGGGCATACGGTTGATTCAAGTGGTTGATTTCCATATCTCAAACTGGTGTTTTGATACATACATACATACATACATACATACATACATACATACATACATACATACATACATACATACATATATAGCTATATAAATTTAAGCTATTATAATTATTATTATATATATATATATATATATATATATATATATATATATATATATATATATATATATATATATATATATATATGTCAATCATCTGATGCAACGTTTCGCAATTACACAATTTGTCACCAAATGGTTATAATGTTAAATTTTAATGCTAATTTTACTGATTCAAGAACTGGAAAATATCCTCTGCTCAGGAACTTGACCACTTCCTGTTGTGATAATGCTGCTTGTTAGGACTTGTATTATAACTGTTGCTAGAAATGGTTAGAAGCAAGTGTCAAAGCCAGTAAAGTTTATTATGTCATAATTAAAATTAACAAACATGTGACACACACACACACACACACACACACACACATATATATATATATATATATATATATATATATATATATATATATATATATATATATATATATATATATAAATCTGAAAATACACAATAACATTAAACTCAGTTCAGAAGAAATACACGTTCCATACTGGAATAATAATAATAATAATAATAATAATAATAATAATAATAATAATAATAATAATAATAATAATAATAATATAAAACGTGGCTTAACGTGCCACTATGATGTCCAACAATTAGGTGAAGCTGGATTCAAAATAGTTACTAAGGTTTAAGACGTATCTATTGACAGGGGCCATAAAGACCACAACCCACCTGGTTTTCAACTCTTAAGCTACACTGTTGTTCATATCAAAACTAGGGATTAAAGTATAGTTGCACTATACACACACACACACCGAGGAATATGTGTTCAAGTGTATGTAATCTAGCTTTGGACAATTTAGGTTCAACGACGTTAAGTTTAAGGTTTAATTCAGCTTGTTTATAAAAATGTCAACTGGTCTATTTTTGAACGGTTGTGGGAAGACATTCGGTGGTGGAGTGAACTAGGAAATAGCTTAGTACACACTATGCACTTGTCATCTCCTGTTGTACCCCCCTCATACGAGGGTATTAGGAGGAGGAGCGACACACTGTATGAGCGTATGTTTACCTGGGTGGGTATGGGGTATGCAAAAGTGAAGTCTAGATATTTGATGACATTTTGGGCAACAATTATATAGTCTGAGATTTACCCTATGAGATCCCTAGGTGGACACAGCGGGAGTGATCAGAAGTAGCAAAGCACACGACATTAAACATCTTGAGAACATAATTGAGATACGGCAGATAAGGTGAAGTTCATAAGTACGGTGCAGATATCTTGCGATACTGAAGGACAAGGTGAGGCAAAGAGCAAGAGAAAGAGCTAAATCAGTGCGACTATATAGCACTTTGAAGGGATATGAACACAAAGATAGGACAGGAAGAAGGAATGATGCCCAACCACCTGAATCATCGGGTATCGAACGCAGTCTTACAAAAGCGTGGCCATCGATTTACCGATCAGTCCAAGCATGAAGGACAAATACGTCCTCGCACTACTGAGCAACAAAATTGAGTTACAATTTTGTTAAACGTTATAATTATAGGACAGCGAGTAAATATTTCATATATTCAGCTAACTATATCTGAGTAAAAAAAAAACAAATTCTCCATAAAATACTACATCTCCGACTTGACAGGGAAGAGTGGAATATATGAGATAAAGCAGAAGTAATATATAAACCTGTAGCATAAAACAAATATAAAACTATACCATAGTCAGACAGACGTTTATAATTAATTTAAATGGAGAGTTTCTGGTGATGTAAGCTAAATAACTTATCATAATACCTTTGTTAATATTAATAATGGCTGGTTAATACTGAAAAGATTAGAACAAATGTAAATTATAAATTCATATGACAATGTTAGGTTATTCTTTTCATTCTCAGCATTGAAAATAATTCATTTACGAACAAATCTATTACTCCAAAAATCTTAAGACTGAACTTATGGCTTATAATAGCTTATTATTATTATTATTAAATATCAAAGCTAGTGGGCAGTAAAATAATTAAAGAGACAATTTAAATGTCAAAAGAACTCAATTATAAGAATATTTAACACCATCTAAACAATATAGAAGAATGGAACAAGGGAATGTAGAATTGTGAGTGAGCATGAAGTCCACAGTGTGTGGGGGAGTAGGGGGTGGGCGGGAGCCAGTGTGAATGTGAGGGGGGGGGTGAATGTGGGAGTGAGAGTAAGGAAATAACAATTGTTGTAAAGGGGTGGGGGGTGAATGTGGTGTTAATGGATGAGTGTGGGTTTGAAAGGAGTGTGAAGATAGTATGGGTATGTGTGTGTACTCACCTAATTGATGAGTACACACACACCCATACTATCTTGTGGGTGAGGGTGTTGGATGAGTGTGCGTGTGGCTATGAGGGATCTTGTAAGTGTGAAGGTGAGGAAAGTGAGTTCGAAAAGAGTGGGTGTAAAGGGGATGAGTGTGGGTGTAGGTGAATAAAGGGGTGGGGGAGTAGGTTTCAGTGAGAGTGAAGACGTATGAGTGATGTTGTGAGGAGAAAGAGCGTGGATGTGAGGGAGGGAGTGTGGGGTATGAGAGACAATGATTATAGACCCGAGGGTCAAGTCTCTGGGGGTGGGGGGATGATCATACCATGATACGTTTCTTCTCCTTGCAGGCATACTCGCTCTCGTCAACATCGTTGTAACAGTCGCTCTTGTAGTCCTCAGGCAGCTGTGGGGCAAGAAGGTGCTGTCAGACTACAGGCTTGGCAGGAAGTATTGACTAATAAATAATTTATCCGGAGCCGTAAGAGTGGTGTATAAACACACATTTAGCTCTAACATTCACTGCCCAACCTCTAGGCCGTAGGGATTAGATCATGTGTACTCAACAATGCTCACAAAGTGTTCAGCCATAAAGTCCATCATGCTACTGGCAAGGTAAACCCTGCGGGCATTGCCAAAAAGGAGTTTATTTAATAAATTGTTTCCCGACTCCCGCTTGGTGGAGCGAACCTGGTCCTCGAACTAGGTGTGACAGCGAGCATAATATAGGACCTACAGTGATGAATTTATGTAACAAGGATTATACGACAGCCATACAACCACACCCATCCGGTAAGTCAGCGATGTGGCTGACTATATCAAGCCCATAGAGATCATTGATCATATATAAAATATGAGAGAAAATGAGGTTTCAACAGACTGAGACAGCTTAATGTTAGAGACAGGACAAAAATACAGCAGCATGGACCCCGAAACAGACTGTTAAATGATCCAGTTGCATCCAAATAAGGTGTGCGAAATGTCTGCTCGATTTTAACTGAAGCCAATGCTGTGATTATATTTTTGCCGGGAGTGAGGCAACAGAAATAACATAAAGCAGATAAAAAGAAAGTGAGCCAGAAACTGAAAATAAAGATCTGGAAGAGGACACGACTCCAGGCCTATAACCGAAGGCACATATTGACAAGATAACATCAGCGGTGTATGCAAAGCTGGTGAAAAGAAAACTTACAGGGGGTCAGACATACCCTATGTTAGAGCAGCACTAAAACATATAGCCACAGCGTGGAATCCTCAGAGGATGAAACACCTTTAGTCTGTCTACTATCCTTTGGCGACAAGAAGAGCCTCACAAGTCATTCTTAACTGCTCTCAGGACCGCAGAAGCAAGAAATAACTACCACCACGAAATGACGTCGTTTCAAAAGGGGTATGAAGAAAAGCTGCCTTTTTTGAGAATCTAACAATTTAAATGAAATAAATGGTATAACATTCATTAATGCATTCACACAATAATTCATGCATCTGTACACAATAAGGGGTACAATTGTTGATTACATCACTTTAAGACAAAATTATATTAACTTTGGCAATGTCATTTTTATATGTTGATATTGTAACAGACAAATGTAGGTTATAAAACTTAAAATGACAATTACATAATTTACAACATTTACCCCCCAAAAATTGATTATATATGTATTGTAAACCCTACGCCTCTAGAATTTTTTAAACATGGAATATATAGCTAGCAATTTGTTGCAATTACAACAAATATCACCTCGTTATCGGCGTTAGATACTACGTAGCATACTTTACATATGGTGTACTAATGCGGGACCAAAGAGTCAGAACTCAACCCCCCGCAAGCACAATTAGGTGAGTACTAAATGCAAGAAATGTGCAAAGTGTATTATTGTATTCTCTTTTTAGTCTCCCCCAGCCAAGTCTTCTAGAAAACGGAGGTTTAAAAGGCATAACTACACAAATTTACTTATATTTATAGTTCTCGCTGTCAATAAACAAAATCTGAAAGTATACATTAATATTACCACAAGTTCAACTGTCTTACCCGTTTCCCGTCGAACTCGCACAGCTTATTGAGAGGCCTGGAGCGGACGTACATCTTCTCGAAGGAGGTGGGCTTGTCGATAGGGCAGTAGAACACCTCGGGCGTCGCCTTGTCGAACACGATCGACTTCCTCATCATGTCACCCGCCAGGGCCGCCCCGACCTGTCGACACCAGACTCTTTTTATTTTTGGAAAATAAAAAATTAATTACTTCTATACATATATATTTTTAATTCGTTCATTTATTTTTTTTTCTTGCAAGACCTCTTTGTTATTTCTGGTTAGAAACGACGATAACAAAATAGTAATTAATTGTGGTGAAAATTAACAATAAAACGAAAATAACGACAAATATAATAAATTTCACCGGTTATGAGTTATGTGTAATAAACCGGTTGTGTTTATCTACTAATCCGATAAAGTACAAGAAATGAATAATTAGGAATATCATAGATCACTCAGTGTTCCGGAAACTACAATTACTAAAATCTTCCCAGCATTTATGATCATTAATTATTCACAATGTAAGCAAAGATGATATTTTTAAGTGGCTTAGTGATTCCATAGGTTTCTTACTGACTGCCTTTAGGAATTATTACCAGAATATGAGATAGTGTTCAATATTAACACTTGTGTTGAAACAACACTTGTTGACCAAACCACACACTAGAAAGTGAAGGGACGACGACGTTTCGCTCCGTCCTGGACCATTCTCAAGTCAATTGTGAATGATCGACTTGAGAATGGTCCAGGACGGACCGAAACGTCGTCGTCCCTTCACTTTCTAGTGTGTGGTTTAGTCAACATACTTCAGTCACGTTATTGTGACTCCTCGTCTGCAAACAACACTTGTTTTGGGGGTAGGTCGCTAGCAGGGTTATATTCACCGAGAGACGTAAACCCCTTCTCGACGGTGTAGTTCAGGATGAAAGTATACTTACTGGTTGGTCAGTAAGCTATTAGTGGTAGCCTTAATAACCCTCGAGAGGTTGATAATCCTTAAACCCAAAGCCAAACCCAAAGTCGCTAGCGAGGATAAGCAGCAGGAGTGACCTCGTCACTCAAGTTCAATCTAAAACAAGTTTTTACTCGATATAAATAATTCAGTATGGTTTATGTCCCACCGTTCTCCCTGAGGGGAGAGTACCAAGTCTATGTCCGTACCAATGGTTTACCTGAGGTGAATACCGTGTCTATGGGACATAGTCCTCATTAATACAGCCTTTTTTCAGCATCGTGGACTACTCCCTCACACTATCGTTATTTAACTAGATGAACATACACATTAGGTGAAAGGAAACGCCATTTCTGTCCCTCCCTGGAATCGAGCTTCCCGAGTGTAAGTCCAGAACGAAGCCAACTGTACTACGAGACCCTGTCACATATACCGGGGGTTGAAAATCGACATCATAGTTCTTCGCTGTGAAGGAAGTAATTATATTATTTGGCTTATTTAACCTAACAACAGATATGTTCTCCGTTTCCGTCTGTTGGTAACGCCTCTCGTTACTCCGTTTACGCCTCGGAGTCCTGTAGACTGTATACCACCACTGTACCTACAACAGGACCGCCCTCGGAGTCCTGTAGACTGTATACCACCACTGTACCTACAACAGGACCCCCCTCGGAGTCCTGTAGACTGTATACCACCACTTTAGCTACAACAGGACCCCCTCGGAGTCCTGTAGACTGTATACCACCACTTTAGCTACAACAGGACCCCCCCCTCGGAATCCTGTAGACTGTATACCACCACTTTAGTTACAACAGGACCGCCCTCGGAGTCCTGTAGACTGTATACCACCACTGTAGCTACAATAGGACCCCTTCGGAGTCCTGTAGACTGTATACCAACACTGTAGCTACAACAGGACCCCCCTCGGGGTCCTGTAAACTGTTCATCGACCCTGTAGCTACAACAGGAGTAGAAAGTTACAGGTAAGATTGCTTTCGATTTTCCGCGGCTTGGGGCGAGGCCTGAAACTTTGTGTTGAGCTATGAGTGGTGGTGGTGGTTATTGGTGGTGGTGGTGGTGGTGGTTGTTGTTGTTGGTTGTGGTGGTGGTTGTTGGTGGAAGGTGATTGTGGTACGTGGGGATGATTTTGGTTGGTGCGTGGTATAGTGGTTGAACTAGTAATAGGAAGGTTGTGGTGACACAGGTGGTAATATGGTGGTAGTTGATGGTGGCATGTAGTGGTTATGACAGGTTTTAATTGTAACATAATAGTTGTGACCATGGTGATTGTTGTGGCGGCAGTAGTGATAGTGGTTATGACGGTGGATATTGGGATTTTTTTTGTGACTGGTGGTAGCTATTGTAGTGGCGCTGATTGTGATGCAGGTGGTGGTGGTGGTGATTGTGGTGGTGGTGGTGGTGATTGTTATGCAGGTGGTGGTAGGTATTGTGGTACGAGTGTAGCGGCCGTAACAGTGATGAAAGTGACTGGAGATTGTGACAATAATTAAGGGTGTGGTTTAACTGTTAAGAGGTGTGACGGTGATTGATAGGATTGTTCTGACTTTGATGGTGAGGAATTGTTATTTCATTACGACACCCATCAACCAAACCCCGTTTTCTTTATTTGCCACTCCGTAAAAAATCCAACCTAACCTGACCTAACCGAAACAACCCACCTTACCTAACATTCCGACGTATAGAAAACGTAGATATTTGTGAGCCGGTACTCTTTTAAGTAAGCTGCATTTGTAACGTTAGTTTCCAAAACGTACAAAATACGACCTATTATTTGAGCTGCGGGCTTAAAGGCCAAACGTGGCTTACCCACCACTCTCCCAATTAACAAATACACAAACACGCAAATAAAATCTATTTTATAATCAAAATATTTATCGATATGTATAATGAACGCGTCAAGAAACTTTCATGATATTTTGATTACAAAAATAAAGTAAAAAAAGGTTTAACACGTTGATACAATAGTATTATTTTGTTGTCTTGTGAAGTGTATAGTTAAATTACCGATTATTCCATTAAACGTGTTGTAAAGGGAATGTAAATACTGCAGTTGCATTCAGCAATAAACAATATTAAGTGAGTGAGAGTTGGGAGTGAATGAGCGTGCGTAAATCTTTGCTTAAACACAACATACACAATGGAAACAATTTTACACTCGTGACTAGTATGTGTATATACACATTATGCACCCTTCCTCCGCGTATCGTTGTTTGTATACTATCCACACACACGACTCTCTCATCCCCCCACACACACACACACATACACATACGTGGCCTTCCCCTAAACACATACACACACATACAAAACAAGGAAGCAACAATCATGTTATGATACACCTGAAGAAGGTCTCTATGACTTGACAAGGACGACGCTATGAATGACAAATGGCTAAAAATACAGAAATCAAACATCACCCCATCATCATCTATCCATCCCCCTCCCTCCCCTCCCCTCTCTCTCTCTCTCTCTCTCTCTCTCTCTCTCTCTCTCTCTCTCTCTCTCTCTCTCTCTCTCTCTCTCTCTCTCTCTCTCTGAACACAGTGGATATTGTATCTCTTCCCACGTAGACAAAGTTTTATCTTATGTGCTCCTGCAGGATGCGATGGAGAAAGTTATGAAGAAAGTTTTGCTTTCCCTCAGGCATTGTATTTTAATATGAAACCCTGGACAGAAAGTGGAGGATTCCTCGGTTCTCTAAGGGGAGATCACGTCACCCCAGAATCAGGATAAAATGTTAAAAAACTCATTGCTGATCAACAATGTAAAAATATCAACTTGATCAACAAATTCGAAGTCCCGAGCGCGCAGTTAAAAGGAAATTGAAGAACTCTCCCTCTCCTTACAAGGCCACGATGACGAGAGAGGTCAAGGATTGGCTAGAAGGATCAGGGGGGGGGGATGGGTTCCCTGGAGGAGGGGAGAGGGGGGGGGTTATTGCTCCGGGTGGGAGGATAGGTGGAGGAGGATGAATCAGCGCGTCTACGTGAAGAGGTGATGACTAGGAGCTGGAATGTTAAGGAGAATATTGCTGAACATTTGTTAAGAAGGGAAGCCAGCCGTCCCTTGTGGGGCGAGTTGTCCCTTGTGGGGCGAGTTGTCCCTCGTGGGGCGAGTTGTCCCTCGTGGGGCGAGTTGTCCCCTTAATAGAGAGAAATGTCGTAGATGAACCTTTGTCAGCACAAAGTGATGAGTTAGAGGAGGCGGGAGGCGGGAGATGAGTTTTTAGGCGGGTCTAAGATCGAGGGGTATATAAAGGCTGATGTTTTTGGGGTAAATTAAGACCCAAAGAGAAATAAAGCGAACCGCATAAAAGAAACATGAAGGAGGTTTAGTTTACAGGGTACTGTAAACTACCAGTACCAGAGGAAAGTTTACAGGGTACCGGCAAGGCGATGAAGAGGGAAAGGTGCAGGGGAGAAATATTAAACTAAAGACACATTCTAAAAGGTAAACCTCACGATAACATGTCATACTCGGGTATGTTCCGATGGTATACCCCCAGTTTACGGCCACCTTCGTAAACTGTACCCTCCCCCCCCCCCTCCCCAGTGTATCCTCTACAGGGGACAGTGGGGGAGTGTAGACTGTTGTCAACAACATTAGACTGTATCCTCAGTAATAATGACGAGGAAACCTCTGACAAGTCGCCGGCTTCCTGTCCCCCGTCGAGGTCACAATATGGAGCTTGAGGCAAATTCACGTAAACTCATCGTGTACTCACCATCAGCACCGCAACACACACACACAACTTATCTGAAACAGAAAAAAAAATTAATAGACAGTTAACACAACAATTTGTTGACTAGAAATATCATCGTGCTATTGATTGGCCACTCCGTAAAAAAAACGACCTTTCAGCCTAGCCAGAAACGTACTAACCCAAGCAACCCACCCAACCCATCGAGGCCGTTGCATACAAAAACGTTAAGTTTACGGTGTTTAATTTTTACTAAATCGTCGTATTTTTGGAATACGACGGAATATTTTGGAATACGGTTTTGGAATATTTTGGAATACGACGATTTTGGAATACGGAATATTTTTGGAATCAAGCTCCATATTGTTAAAAAGGCGACTTAGTCGGTATGAGAACGGGATGCTCGACCAAGGTGATACACAACCACTTGCAAGATGCTGAGAGCCGGACGCAGAGTAAACAAATATGAATTGTTTAAGCAAGGATTCGAAAGAGAGGTCAAGTGGGAAATTAGAACCCCCCCCCCCCCGAAACGAGCTCCTGGTCAGGGTTGGGACTAAGAAACTGGTTTAGAGCTCAACAAGCTGTTTTTCTGGCCTAACATGCTGGTGACTTGTTTAATAAGTTGTTTACTGGCTTGACAAGCTGTCTACTGGCCTAACGAGTTGGTTACTGGCCCCCTCCCCCAACAGTTTGTTTTCCTGATCTGTCAAGCTTGGGACTGGTTTGACAAGCTGTTTACTGATCTAACAAGCTGATTACTGGTCTAGCAAGCTGTTTTGCTGGTCTAAATTGCTGTTTTATTTATCTAACAAGTTGGCGTCTCATTTAACAGACAATTTTACTGGGCTAACAAGCTAGCTATTAGCCTAACAAGCTGGTTTATTGATCAAACAAACTATTGTACTGGCCTAACAGGCTGTTTTATGAGTCAAATGAGGTGGTGTGATGTCCTTCAATTGCGCTGTTCCGGAGCTGTTGTAGAGGACTCGAATAATGTTAAATGTGTGAGTGAACCCATCAACGTGTTGACTGTGTCTTCGGCACGGCCTTGGACCAGCCCGCCTGCTGCTCCCCACATGGCCACCCACCACAGGCTGCTTGGTCTGTGTGTGTGTGTGTGTGTGTGTGTGTGTGTGTGTGTGTGTGTGTGTGTGTGTGTGTGTGTGTGTGTGTGTGTGTGTGTGTGTGTGTGTGTGTGTGTGGCTAGTTTCCTCCAAAGTCTTTCCTCATAATTCAGACTTTGAATTACGTTGAGGGGGACCAGTATCGTAGCAAATCTCTGGATTTTCTCTAGATTTGTAATGCTCTCTTTGGGCTAGTCTAGATTAGGTTAAGATTACGTTAGATTAGGTTCGATTAGATTATGTTAGGTTTGGATTCCAGTCTAAGAATACAAGTCTAACATTTGTTGTTCCATGGTTTGAGAACGCAGTCGGGGCCTCAAATATCTCAATAAGTTCCCATGGACACGTCAGCCAACTCACACCATACGGATGTGTTCTCATGAACTCATAGGAACTCATCCTCACTCGTGGAACTCATGGAAGCCAGAGTTAAGGTAACATTTCTGACACAACTGAGCTCATCATTGATTTTCTTTTTTATATACAGTTTCAGCAACAACCCCGAAGCGGTAATTGCATGAAGAGTCTTGAAGCAATGTTACTGGGTTATTTCTACAACTCCCAGATGCTCACAGTAGTGTTAGTGGTGGGCGGTATGTGGCTTACATATGAGCTTACATATGAGCTTACATATGAGCTGTAACCCACTATGTTGATTACAGCTCCACATAAGTTAACACAACTTCGTAGAGGGAAGGGCTGTGGTCGGGCAGATCGTGAGCATAAGTAGTTAGCACGGTTAGCAGTTACCGGTAATGAGCGTGGTTAATGAGCACGGGTATAGTGATCACGGGCAGTTAGGGAAATAGGGTCGTTAAGGCTGGTGCGCCAGTGGTTTGTACGAGCCATTATTATTAAAGGCGTTGCCGGGGACGTGTGTCGTCGAGGTGGCACGAAATTGGCGTCGTTTTAGCGTCGGACTGGCATACTTTTAGCGTCGGATTGACGTATTTATAGCGTGAGTCTAGGCGTCATTTTAGCGTAGGATTGGCGTCATTTTAGTGTGGGGTTAGCGCGTGAATAGAGGAAGACGTATATTTGTGTGGAGATAGGGAGGGTGGAGATAGGGGGGGGGGTGGAGTCGACATGAAGGGATAGAGAGGGAAGGTGCTAGGGTAGGGACAGAAGGGTTTAATCGACACGGATGGGTACGAAAGGGAGAGAGGGAGGTAGGTATCGGGGGACGAACGGGAGGGTGGAGTCGACACGGTATCGTACTAAAAAAAAAAAAAGAGAGACAAAAATCACTAGTTAGCAAAGGCGTTGCATATCTCTCCGCGACGTAGTGATCCGTCAGGTATGGCGAGAGGTCGTTGACGTGCCAGGAGGAGGAGGAGGAGGGGTACTGATGAGGGGGGACAGCACATAACTCAGAAGACAGACATGAGCATAACGAGATATGTAAATATGACAACTTTGACAGGAATAACCAGAAAGTCAGTTTGCTAGACGTTGTCAAAGAGTTCATTGAGTTTGTATAATTCTCCCATCCATCATTCCCAATTAATATAATACTGGTAGCTGGCTCAGATTTAAAATCTCATAGCCGGATTAAAAAATCTGGTGGGCTGGTAGGCTGTGTGGTACTGGTAGGCTGTGTGGTACTGGTAGACTGTGTGGTACTGGTAAACTGTGGTACTGGTAAACTGTGGTACTGGTAGATGTGAGACACTGCAGAAGGAAATGCCAGAGAGAGAGAGAGAGAGAGAGAGAGAGAGAGAGAGAGAGAGAGAGAGAGAGAGAGAGAGAGAGAGAGAGAGAGAGAGAGAGAGAGAGAGAGAGAGAGAGAGAGAGAGAGAGAGAGAGAGAGAGAGACGAAAGGACCGTATGAGCTGAACCTCACCTCATCCCAACGGATACAATCTCCCTCCTCATCTCAACCGGGCATATTCCTCATACCTGATCTCCAAAACATATATTACCCCACAAACATTTCCCCGAGACTCTAAGACTCTAAGAGGTGTGAGTCTAGACTCCCTCACACTCAACACCTTCCCTCCCCCCATATATCAAACACCTTCCTTCACACTACTGCAAAGCATACACCTTCCGAACTCCACCAACCGGCAGCCACCTCTCTCTCTCCCTTCCCTCCCTGTTCCATCCACCGCATCAACCCCCCACCCGTCCCACCCGCCACGGCTCTCCTATTCCGCCCTTCCTCCCAACCACGACCGTTCTGGCTATTGTGTTGGTTACGTCCCATTCGTCCAGGATGGTCACGGAGGCTCCAATCCCTTAGCCCACTTTCTGTTATTGTTGCGTGGTGTAACGTGTGAACTTCCCCGCCGCAGTGATGATTGCTATTACAAGCGCACTCCTTCGTGCGCGTGAGCACAAGTGCACTCATTCACGCACAAGTGCACACGTTACAGACGCATCGCTACAAGCGCACTCCGCGCGCACACACACAAGCACAGACTGATGGTAAAGGGAAGCATATGTAGGGGATGAAAGCGGAGGCAAGTGTAAAGAGGAAAGGGCAGACAGACAGGTGAGTAAGCACCGGCCTTTCCCAGGTGAACCAAGGCCAACCCAGGTGAATCAAGTCCCGCGGAAACCCAAGGTCCAGCTTACAGATCTCGACGGGACTTTCATTCCACTGTTTAACTCAGACCAGCACCGCCACAGGCCTGTGCAAACTAATGAGTGTGTGTATACGTGAATGGTTGTGTGCATTCTCGAATACTTCTCCACAGGGGGCGAAGCTGAGATCATTCTGTGGATATTGGTTCACAATCCGGAACTCTGGCCGGATCAGAACGTCCAGCCAATCGATGGTCGCAGAACCCCCACACTGAACGACTACAGTAGCCACAGAACCACACACTGAAAGACTACAGTGGTCGAAGAACCACACACTGAACGACTACAGTAACCGCAGAACCACACACTGAAACACTACAATAGCCGCAGAACCACACACTGTAGGACTACAGTAGCCACAGAACCCCACTGAACCACTACAGTAGCCGTAGAACCACACACTGAATAACGACAATGGTAGTGGCGAATATAGTAACTATATACAACTACTGTAGTGACTACAGGCGGCCGGGGCGTATATTGTCATTCGTTTTGAGAACAAGGTGTTTGGGCTAGGTGTTTATACCTGTATTAAAGCTTGTGAGTTACGTCATGTAAGACATACATACCTGGAGGCAACAAAGCTTGCAAAGGTGTGATGGTCTGGTGGCTGCGAGAACACTGTCCCACTACACCTCTGTCATGACGACCCCTCTTCCTGTCCATTCTCCTCCTTCCTTCCTTACCCTTTTACTGTCCTCCTATTTCCTTTTCCCTTCCCTTCCTTCTATCTTTTGCTTCCTATCTAATCTCTTCCAGTTTTTTCCTTCTCTGTTTCCATCTTCCTCTTTCCTTCCAGTCGTCTCTTCCTCATTCCACATCGCCCTCGAAAGGGCGGGGGTCCACACCCTCGCCAGCGCAGGGGTCCACACCCTCGCCAGCGCAGGGGTCCACACCCTCGCCAGCGCAGGGGTCCACACCCTCGCCAGCGCAGGGGTCCACACCCTCGCCAGCGCAGGGGTCCACACCCTCGCCAGCGCAGGGGTCCACACCCTCGCCAGCGCAGGGGTCCACACCCTCGCCAGCGCAGGGGTCCACGCCCTCGCCAGCGCAGGGGTCCACACCCTCGCCAGCGCAGGGGTCCACACCCTCGCCAGCGCAGGGGTCCACACCCTCGCCAGCGGGCCACTGACATCCTGCCCTTGTGGTGACGACCGTCAAGCGAGGGGGGATGGACGCTCCACGATAATCATACGTCCAGAACATCGTATACACACACACACACACACACACACACACACACACACACACACACACACACACACACACACACACACACACACACACACACACACACACACACACGTTACACCGCGTTAACGCACAACACAACACACATACGC